ATTATTCGATGTTTTTTGAACAATGGCCTGCAGTGCGTGTCAAACTCTACACCATCGACAATCCGCACAGCAGCTTTTTGAAGTATAAAAACTTTGTGTGCGTGACTGGCATTGCCCCAAAGCACAGCACCGTAAGTGAGTTGACTATGGATTAGTCCATAATACACGGTTTTTAATGTTTTATTATCGAGTACATTTCGCATTTGTCCGAGAGCAAATAACTGCGTAGACAACTTGGAACAGAGACCATCAATGTGACTATTCCAGTTAAGTCCAGCGTCAATTGTCACACCGAGAAGTTTAACTGGCTCCAATATGTCTGTCGTTTTACTAGATGTAAAAACAATAGATTGGTTTTTACTCTCATTTAGTTTTAATTCGTTTGAGTCAAACCACTTTTTGGCCATTGAGACATAATCTCTGTTTGAGGCTATATTGTCCTTGGTCAAAATAGTTGTATCATCAGCGAAAAGGATGACAGTGGCACCGTCAATTGATGTCGGTAGATCGTTGATGTAGACTATAAATAATAGTGGACCTAAAACAGAGCCTTGAGGCACCTCTCTCACTACAGATGACATTGAGGACTCCAAGTTATTAAGGGAAACATACTGCTTCCGATTATGGAGGTAACTCGAAAGTAAATTTAGAGTTTGGTCTCTAATGCCATAGAATTCTAGTTTTTCAAGCAAAATCTCAGTACTGACGCAGTCGAAAGCTTTAGATAAGTCACACATAGTAGCCGTAGTACTAGTTCCATTATCCATGCCATCAGTTATTTCATCAATGACAGATAATAGAGCTTTAACAGTCGATTTATGCTTCCTGAACCCATATTGATGTGTAGAAAGGATATTTTTGCTTTCAAAATAATTAATTAATTTTTCTTTCAAAATTTTTTCCAATATCTTGCCTATAATAGGAACAATTGCGATGGGTCTATAATTATCCAAAGTGTTTGTATCTCCCTTTTTGTGTATGGGTACGACTTTACTTATTTTGAGTTAATCAGGCCAAACCCCTTCTTCGCAACATTTGTTGAACAACAAACAAAGTGGTGTAACGATAGACTCAGACGCAATTTTCATCATAGTGCTATTTAAACCATAGTGGTTTATACATTTTGAGTTCTTTAGTTGAATGATGGCTAGCCTAACATCAGACTCGACAATGAGTGGCATAAAAAATGAAAAACTAGGTTTCGGCAATTTATTGATGTAAGTGGAAGGACTTTCGATACCGTTATTTATGGTGGAAATAATCATGTCGGCTACGGAGACAAAAAAAGAGTTTAAATCCTCAGGAGAGAGCGTTGATGTTGTACGCTTAGTTTTATTAGCGTTTCTCTCAGAGTTAACAATTTTCCACACACTTTTACTTTTGTTGTCCGATTTCTCGATCACATTTCTATAATAATCACGTTTTGTTTGTCTTAGGGCCTGTTTATACTTTTTGCGTGTTTCTCTGTAGAGATTCCAATCAATCATCGAATTGGTTTTATTAAAACGAGCCTTCATTGAGAATACCTCTCTCCTCTGTTCACGAAGCTCTCGATTGTACCACTCCGCCCCTTTATTTCGGTTTTGGTATTTTTTAATGGGAAAACTGCTATCGCTGGTGTCTTTAAGAATGCCCAATATTTTATTGGACATATCGCTAGCTTGCAAGATCTCTAGTTCCAGATCATTCCAATTTACATCCGAAATTGATTTTGCAAAATTTTCTAGGGTTCTCGGATTTATATTGCGCCTTGTTATACATTTTTTATTATTATTTTTATTATTATTGGTCTTGATATTATTAATGATCAAATAGATACCACAGTGGTCAGCTATATCAATATCTACAGTTCCAGTGGAAATATCGTGAATATGTAGATTACTTAGTACATTGTCAAGCTTTGATCTGGATGTAGGAGTAATGCGTGTGGGAACGTGAATAAAATGACGCAAACCATATATCGCTGCAAAGTTACGAATATCCCTAGCATGTTGCGTGTTTCCATCAAGATCACAATTTAGATCACCCAGAAGACTGATAAATTTATATTTTTTAGACATATCACATAAAAGTCTATGTAATTTGTCTTTAAAAATGTTTATATCGCCATGACTAGATGACCTATAGGTTGTGATCAAAACACTGTTTTCGTTGA